TTTGGGGCTAAATACGAGGCTGGAAAGGTAAGCAAGAGCCAGATGTTAGAAGCCCATAATAAACCATGCTAATGGTTAGACTTTGTAGAGGGCAGTGGGGAGGCATTGAAATCTTTAATGTTGAAGTGTGGTCAGCTTGGTGTTTACAGGCAGTGCTAGGGAGATTGGAAGAAACTGGAGGTAAAACTGTCAGTGGGAAGATTATCCCTTGAGTGTAAGCGGTGGAGCCTAAGGCAAGAAGAAATACAGTCAGGAAACAGTAAGTCTTGGTTGGTGATTGTTGGGCCAGGGGGAGGAAGTATGAGGAAGTGTCTCCTATGAATTTCAGATTTCTGACTTGAGAAATTGGAGGCACTGCCAAGATAGAACTGGTTTGGGGAGGAAAATAATAAGATCTCAGTTCCGAACATGTTTAATATGAGGTATTCTTAGATAGATATGCTCAGAAGCCAGGCAGAAATATGTGATTAGAGCCCATGAAGAGGTCTGGCCTGAAGATACATATGTGTGTGTGTTCCTCAGCATGTTGTGTTGGTGGTTATTAAAACCATGGGAGTAAGTAAAGTTGTGTAGGATAGAAAGGTGTAGAGAGAGAAGATAAAAGAGGTAAGGAAAGAAATGAACCTCAGAGCACACTGACAATAGAGGGACTGCCAGGGGAAGCTAAACCTACAAAGGAAGGAAAAGTCAGAGAAATGAGAGGAGAACCAATATGGAGTCTTGGAGCCAGAGGAGGAGGCAACTCCCAGCAAGGCTGTGATCAGAAGCATCAGCCAGGCAGAAAGGGTGAGTAAGCGGTAGACAGAAAAGAGTTTGTTAGATTTAGCAAACTGGAAATGCTGCTAACCTTTGCCAGAGTGATTTCAGTGAGGTACTCTTGGGGGTGGAGGAGATGAAAAAGTGATTATAGTTGGCTTAAATAAGTAGATTAAGGAAGTTGATATAGTAAGGATAGTGGGTTGTTTTTTTTTTCCACCCCGAAGACATTTGGCTGTAGAGCAAATACATTAGATGGGGCAGTGGTGAGGAAGAGAAACTTGACTATACTTATAGACTATGATGAAGAAATCAGCAAATGAGGAGAGGTTGAAAATATGGAAGAGTAATAATAGAATTATTATTACTGTACTCATTAAATATTCATAGCAAACTATATTTCAGGTACTGATGTATAATGGTGTATAATGTATAATTTCTTGGAAGAGATCCCAGTGATAGAATTGAGAGTAGTAGGAAAACAATATTCTTCTGATGCTAGAACAGAGATGATATGGATCAGGTATTGATAGGTTAGGTTGAGATACTGAGGAAAGCTTAAACCTAACTATTGATTTTTCTCTGTGAAGTAGGAGGTGAAAAAGAATTGAGGGCGTGACTACAGATTAGTGAAGGTTGAAATTAGCCATTGTGGGAAATGGAGTTTATCAGGCAAAACATTTGGATTACAGAACAGCTTTTACGGTCTAACTGCAGTTGGAACCATGAATCTGGTGACTCCAGACAATATGGAGTCTGCAATTTTCTCCAGCAGTCCTTCACATCCTGGTAGAGAAGCAAACAAGCAAAACAATTGTCAGGGTTGATATTGTGAAAAGACAAAGGATTATTAATGGTGCTGCCAAAGAAGTGGCTAAAGGATTGTGCTATGAGGTCTAGCCTGGAAATGAATGACGTAAATCCAGAGGCAGATGATTGACGAGGAGGAAAGGTATTGGAAATGGTCTCAAATCAAAGCACAACCATACTGGGAGACAGGTGTGAGCCCTGGAAGGACAGGAGCTTGTGCCCACATTTCTTACATGACATAGGACATTGTAAGACTTAGGCTGTGCCCCTGGGAGGCAGAGACTAAAATGGAATGAAAGTGAAGATTAAGGCCAGGTCATCAAGAAGTTTGTTTCGGATAGAGGATCCACATGGGCATCACAGTGACCAAAGATGTGGTTGTTGTACTTGGGATGAAGAATGCTGTTAGCTGGATGTCCTCAGTGAATGAGATGGAACAACTCGGAGTTAGGTAGATGGAAGGAAAAAGAGGAAAGTAATGATTGTCTCTTCTGGGCGGCCATCTACAGTCTTTTTGCCTCTAACTATCTCACAAATACCTCTTGAGATACCTATCACTTTGTGGTTTATAATAGAATTAGTTATATGATTTCCTCAGTTTCCCTCAGTCTCACATTTGCTTCTTTGCCAGTCCTTCTCCCCCCACTAGATTGTAAGCTGTCCAAAGGCAGGTGCCATGTAGATTTCATTTACTGCTTTATCCTTACTACCATTATAATAAAGTGTCTGGCACATAATAAATGCTCAATAAGATTTTATTGAATGAATGAATGAATGAATGAATGAATGAATGAATGAATGGAAAAGGGAGAGGTAGAAAGGAAATAGGGTCAGATTGTCAGGAAGGAAAATGAGTCATTCTCTCACATCCCATCCTGGACAATAGTCCTTCCTTTCTGGGCTGGTTCTTTACCCTGATTTACCCTCAGTGTCCTCAGATGCCAGCATAGTGCTCTACTCTAGATGAGTGAGAATCGCTACTCAAGCATATTTTAATTTTAAAGGATCTTATTTTCATAGTTTATTAATTTGCTTATTAGATAATTTAGGAAAAAATTTATCAACAGATTGATTCACAAATATACTGAGGTATACATATTTTATATCGTATATGATTTTATACTATGTGACTTGTTAGAAACTTCTCTGGAAAAGATAAATCTTTATGACACAATGAACTACACTTCGGATGGAGATCGAACCACATAAGAAAGAGGAAAAGCAAAGGCGGTATTGCTCTGGCTCTGTCTTCTGTAGCGTTTCTGACTCTCCTGTCAGTCCTTAGGAAGACTGTCCTGAAGGAGGGGTAATAAAGCAGAGGCTCAGGTGCCATCCCCACTCCCTCCCCATTTACTGTATTCTTTACTACACCTAGTTCTCATCTTCCACTTTGGAGAATCAGAGAATCTTTGTCCTCTTCAACTAAATTTATATCCAGCTATCTTTAATCTTGGGCACTTTCTTTTTTTTTTTAATTTTATTTATTTTATTCTTTTTAAGAGTTTGTTTATTTATTTGACAGAGACACAGCGAGAGAGGGAACACAAGCGGGGGTGGGGGGGGAGGGAGAAGCAGGCTTCCCGCTGAGCAGGGAACCCGATGCGGGGCTCGATCCCAGGACCCAGGGACCATAACCTGAGCTGAAGGCAGACGCTTAACTACTGAGCCACCCAGGCGCCCCTCTTGGGCACTTTCTTTTCTGGGCAGGAGAACTTGAGGACCCTTTGCTACAGTAGGTTGGAAGTTTCACCCAATTCTGACCTAGTAGGCTGGAAAGATGAGGCTTCTGGACCGGTTTGAAGGATGTGGTAGTTCTATTCAGTCAAAAATTGCCATTACATCTATGTGTATTCTGGTTAAATAGAATGAATTTTTGTACCACAGTTACCTTTTTCTGTCATCTTTTCTGCTTCTTTTGTCATTTTTATCTCTAAACAAAATATCTGACAACTAGGTGACCTGTTAGAATACATTATCTTTTTAAATACAAGTATCATTATAAATGCTTTTCCTCCTGTTTTCTGTATTGTGTATAATTGAATGTATTTGTTTTTATTTTAATGGGTAAAATGCCAACCTCTTTCTGATTTAAATTTCTCTTAGATCGCCATAATAAAATGCCTTGTGTATTGTTGTGCCCCTTAAGGATGTTTAATGCTGTTGTCTGCTGCATTGCAAGGAATATAAATTGAAATCCTCAGACCCTCTCAGTGGGTATAATATTACCATTAACATTTACTACATGCTAATAACTGGCCAGAAAGAATTAATGCAAGTTTTCAAAATATCTAAATTATTCCTCAAGACATGCATACAAAGCCAAAGAATCTGGCTCTTCCCCTTTATTTGGCTTATCATCTGTGAAAGACCACATACAGTGTTACGAAGACACATAGTGTCATAAACTGATGGCAGTTGGAATTGAAAATGAAGTTCCATATACTTCTACTCAGTGGCTCTAGGACTAGATGGAAGGATTTTTTCTTTTTTAATTTATTGAAGTGTGCTTATTTCCTGTAATATAAATAAGTAAACTTCAGCTCTTTCATCTATAAAGTGAAGATGCTAATACTGCTTTATGCAGTTGAGTATTAGAATACTATTTGTAATTTACCTTGCTTATAATTTATTATTCTAAGTTTAGAAGAGTGCTTTTTCTTTAATATGAAACTAATAAAAACGTATTTATATAAAATGGTTTATGATAAGTGCATATGATAGCTAACCTACCCAATGCCTCATATAAACTTAGATCTATAGATATAGTGTATATAATTATGAAAATTTAAACTTACAATCAAGGCTAATGTAGTACATTCTAGATCAAATAAATATGTATAATATATCTACAGTTAATTTAGAGCCTTAGAGTTAAAAACCTGTTGTCCTTCATGACTACTGTCTTCTGATAAACTTCTTTGAAAAATAGTAAAATCATTTTAAAGCCTCTGATTGTAGACACTACCTTTTGCTTGACATTAATACCCGACCAATGACTATACATACTTCTTAGACTTTTCAACTAATTGTAAAATCATTGACAGCAGTCATATATATTCTTTTTTTTTTAAAGTTTTTTCATTCTAATTCTAGTATAGTTAACATACAATGTTATATTAGTTTCAGGTGTACAATGTAGTGATTCAACAATTCTGTACCTTACTCAGTGCTCATCATAAGTGCACTCCTTAATCCCCCTCACCGATTTTGCCCATCCCCCACCAGCCTCCCCATCAGTATTCTCTGTAGTTAAGAGTTTGTTTCTTGATTTGTCTTTTTTTCCCCTCTGCTCATCTGTTTTGATTCCCAAATTCCACATAGGGGTATTTAGTCACAAAATGTACTTTCCTTGTAAATCTGTATCTAGTCAGAATATTTTTAATGACTAACTGAAATGGTTTTTTTAAAGCATTTTGTATTTTCTTTCTCTGTAGCTACGACAGTTAGTGAATATGTGCATCAACCCAGATCCAGAGAAGCGACCAGACATCACCTATGTTTATGACGTAGCCAAGAGGATGCACGCGTGCACCGCAAGCAGCTAAATAGGTGGAAGATCATGAAGAACCTAACCAAAATAATTTAAAGTATTTTTGTGCAAATCATACCTCCCCGTTTTTGTCTGGGTGTTAAGATGAATCTTTCAGAGCTAATGTGCTTTGAATCCTTAACCAGTTTTCATATAAGCTTCATTTTGTACCAGTTTAAGTCGCCTTCTTGCAAACCCCAAATGACTTTGGATAGTCAGATTGCATGTTAGGAGAGTAAATGAAACTTAATGGTTTTTAATGGCTAAAGGTTTTTAGAATTATTTAGATTTTTTTTTTGCTGATAAATTGTGTTCAGATAGACTCTCAGTGCCAAATATTGAAGGTGCAGCTTGGCACTCATCAAGATAGACTTGTAACCTGAGGAAAAGTATCTGAACATGTGACTTGTTTGCTTTTTCATCATTTATGGACATTTGAGATTAACACAATTGTGAACTTTTGTGATTATTTTATTTTTAAAAGTTTGAAGTATGTGTTTTAGTTCTTAGCATTGTAGCTTTCAAATGTAATTCTTAAGGTAAATGTAGACATAAACTATTTGAGAAACACTTAAAATTCTTAGCTTTTACATTCAAAATGCAACTCTTAAATGTGAAAAAATTGGGGGACAAAATGTGAGTCAGACACTGAAGAGTTCTTTGCTTTGTTTTGTCTTGTTTTAATATCTCTGATAGTCTCTTTGCATTATAGTGGTATAAATGAATCCATTTAAAAAGTGGTTAAGGATTTGTTTGGCTGGTGTGATAGTAATTTTGAAAGTTGCACATTGCCTGAGGCTTTTTTGTGTGTGTTTTTATTATTGTTTGTACTTTTGAAAAATCTTTGAATAATCTTGTAGTACTATATTTCAAGTTCTTTATAAATTTAAATTCTCTCTTCATAATTGCACACTATCGTGTAAGCATGTTTTTATTCATAGATTTTATTGAAGTTCTGATTGGTCCCCTTCAGAAATTTTTTTGTATTCTTCAAGTTACTTTCCTATTTATATTGTATGTGCATTTTATCCATTATGTTTCAGATTTTCTGAGAACATAGTACCCTTTAAAAAATATTTAGTATACCAACACTTATCCTGGATTAAAAACATTTTTTTTTTAACTTTTAAAAATTTGGGCCACCCTGTATGCGTGTATTTTGTCTTGTTAGAGAGAAGAAAGGATGTGTGTTGCACTGTACCTGTGAATGTTGACATAGTTTCAATGCATTTGACAAGGTTGTAACTTGAGAATATGTTTAAAGCAATGGGAACTGGCTATGACCACAGCCAGAATTTTTATAAGATTAACATTTCTGTTGAGAAGCTTTTAAGCAAAGTATTGTATTCATGCATGAAGATGACAGAGATGGTAACGCTTCATTTAGTTTAAGGAAATAGGCCGAGTTTAGTAAATGCTGTGGTGGAGACGTTTTCCCTGAATGCCTTCATGTTAGTGGTGACCAGTTCTTCACAGAATTGTGAAAGCCAAAAGGCTGAGTGGCAGTCACCGTTCAAGGACACCACGCCACTCTATAAAACCCTGGGATGGATAATCCTGCCGACGTGAAAGCCTCATGTTTGGAGAATACCTACCTTTAGCTGATGTAACTGCTGGTTTTGTCTTCTCATATAAGTATTTTTCTTACACTCATTTGAGTACTTTCAAGTCATTTGTAAAACTTTATAAGGGCAAAAGCATAAACTTTTTTTTCTTCCAGAATGTAATCAGTTATGGTATCTGAAGGGTAATTTTTTCTTGGGATAGACAGAGGGCACCTGGATGGAGGGCCAGATACATTGTTTTTACCAGATTCCAGTTACTTACAGCTTTTACGCTGAGCACCCATAGATTTGTCTCCAGAAGTATGAGCAAGTAGAATTGTTCTTGTTGACCGTTAGTGTCATATGTTCATCTTATTATAGTATAAGTGAGAGGAAATTGTTCTGTAGTTGGAACAGATAATCTCCCTTTTTCTTGCAATCTTTAAAACTACATGAATCTAAAATTCATTTGCTTAACCCCTCACAGTGACTTTTAAGCAAAGATTTAAGCTTTTCTTTTCAGTGAATCTCTCTGCTAGAAGGAAATAGCTGGGAAGAATTTAATGATCAGGGAAATCCATTATTATTTTCTACATGTGGAAACTTTTTGTTTTGGATATTGTATCTTTTTCCTATCTAAGTGTTCATATTTTTTCCTGAGGAAACCACTGTGTAAACAACAAATTTTAATTTTGAATGAGATCATTTCAAAGAATTATGAAGATGATTAGAAGTGTGAATTTTTTGTAATCACCTATGAAATATTCTCTCTATATTTCTGTTTATAAGCAAATTTTGTACTGATTAAGTAAAACATTTGAATTGAATTAGGAAACAGTAAAATGAAAGGTACATGTGCTTCTAAACCTTATTTAGACATTGGTACCAGTTCCCCAGAAGAAAATGTGGGGTAACTTTGTTTTGTGTGCTTAGGTTTAGGAATGGTGGATGAAGGGTATTCCTATATAAATAAAGTGCTCAACAATGTGCAATGATTGTAAATTTAGTAAGATATTACAGCCATTTCATGAATGCTTTACCATTTCACATAGTACCTATTACAAAACACCTTTCTTGGATCAATATACTTCAGGTGTTGCTGTTAACATTTACATGATATTTATTTTAACCAAAATGTTATTCATATTAAGTGTTTTTTCTTTAAAATGAATGTATTGTTATAACCCACAAATGCGTAATTATCCTATGCCTCATATTTCAATAGTACTGTAATATGGACTTCTTTTGTGAAATACTTTTATTTTGTTATGCTTCAGATACACATACTAAAAAGATTCTGTTGTTAGCTTTGAAAATTGTATAATACCCTAATATAAATAAAAATATAAAATTAAAAAATGGGTACAATAAAATTTTTATGATCTGTGATTTCCGCCCCCCCCCCTAAAGTCGGCCGTTGTTTATTTCACTTAACATTTAACCTACAGAAGAACAGTTCTTGTTCATTTCCATGACTTTACCATTTTGGGAGAGGCCTAAGAATTGAAAGAGTTGAGGGTGATAATGGAGCTCTGACAGATGCTAAGTAGTTTAATAAATATGCATTAAACTAAGGTACCTCTTCACATGTTCCTGCTCTTCTTCAGCACATGATTTTCTGTCTTTGAATAAGAAAAGTTTTCTCAAATTATAAAATTATAAGTCCAAAATTTAGGCAATAGATTCCATTCCTGTCACCGTAATATGCTGCTAACAATATTAGAAATAGTTTGAATGCTCTTTTCACATAAAAAGTGAAAATTACTTTCTACAGCTGGAAATGTTGAGGCTAAAAGATCTTTAGGGGTAAAATCCTCCAGGCTGATGGTAGAATGATGGGTTACCTTTCACATCAGGATCACATTCCAAATAGACTGTGGTGAAGAAAAGCTAATTTTGTAACCTGTGATTTGTATGAAAGAACCTTTAGTCTGACTGTGTGTATGCGCGCACACACACACGCATAGTAATAGTAAATTTTAGCCACAAGAAAGTGACTAGTCGGGGCGCCTGGGTGGCTCAGTTGGTTAAGCGACTGCCTTCGGCTCAGGTCATGATCCTGGAGTCCCCGGATCGAGTCCCGTATCGGGCTCCCTGCTCAGCAGGGAGTCTGCTTCTCCCTCTCCCACTCCCCCTGCTTGTGTTCCCTCTCTAGCTGTCTCTCTCTCTGTCAAATAAATAAGTAAAATCTTTAAAAAAAAAAAAAAAAAGATAAATTATTTTCACCGTGTTACAATGCATAAAGATAATCTTTTCCACTCCTTTCTAGAAGCATAATCCTATGGATAAATTATTTAATTTCTCTAGAAATTCCTAACTCTAAAGAGAATTACAATACCTTTTATAAAGGACTGAATGTGATGCCCGGTACCAAGTGGGTGCTTGTTCAACAGAACTATTACAGTGTAGTGTTGTAGTGTAGAAAAGAACACACGTATGTCTTCTCTGGCTCTAGCTTCATCTATTTTTGCTTTGTTCTCTCCATTCTAGCGCCACTGCATGGTTTCTTAAAGATCCCGAGCTCTTTCTCACCTTAGGGCCAATATAATTGCTTAAATAGCTCTCCCATTTAGAAAAGAAAAAAAAAAAAAATCCTATCAATCTTTCATGACTGACATTAAATGTACTTTTTCAGGAGCCACACAGACCACATCCTGTACTTTTCCCTTTGGCACTTAACCCAACTGTATGTAGCCAAATGATTACTTGTGTGATTCTTTGTTTACTTTTGATCTCCCTACTAGAACCTAAACTCTAGATGGACAAGTACTTGCTGTGTTGTTTAATGTGATGCCAACACTTAACACAATGCCCTATTGGTAGTCACTCAACTTATTTTTGTTGAATTAATAAATGGACATTTTAATGCTGTAAGTGGAGTTGAGCACTTCAGGGGGACTGTGCAGAGATGCAAAACCAGCAGAAATCAGGAGAGGCGAGGGCAAGTAAGGGGGTAAGAGAAGCAAACACAAGCTAAACTAGAAGAAAAATTTTAAGTTACAAGTTGCCATAAATGACGAAATTGAAGGTAATAGGGATTGACACCTGGCTCCTGGACTTCCTGAGGAGGTCATGGTGATGATACAGGTTCAGTAGGAGACTGGAGTGGAAAACAAATTCGGGTAAAAATAGGAATGATGATGGCAGATGAAGGAAAAATAGAAGGTAACCAGAAGGAGTCATAGCTCAAGTTTTAAGATAAAGTGAACTTAAAATGGTTTGAAGATTAGGAGAGGTAGCATGTGGAGAAGAAACTGAAGGGACAGGGAGTATATATGATAAGAGAGGATTTATCCACTAAGCCCACAAATGTTTACCGTGTATCCTCATAATATTAGATCCTATATACAGTCTTGAGCAAAATGTTTCTTGTTTTCATGGATTTAAAATCAAGTCAGGAAGAAACACATCTACAGAAATAGAAATATATAAATGCAAATTGTTACGGGTGCTATGGAGGAAAAGAGATACTGAGGAGAGGACATTCAAGTAAAATGACCTAAAGGATGAAAAGGAGTCAGCCAAAGAACAAACAAGGGGAAGAGCCTGCTGGCCTGTGGGAAGTTAGCTGGGCTTTCTGAGAAGCAACAGATGAGAGTGGGTGAGTTGGGATGGAGTAATACAAGGTAGATTTAGAGATGTATATTTTCTCTGTATTTGCAATAATCAGTAATGGATAATATAAAGTAATAGTAATGTAATCAGTAATATAAAAATTTATATTAGGAATTATAAAATACTTAGAAATAATTGAGCAAGAAACACACAGAATATACATGAAGGAAATTATAAAATCTCATTGAAGAACACAAAGCAAATACTGAACAAATGGAAAAAGAGGCTGTGTTCCAGATGGGAAGTTTCATATAAAAATCAAGTACTCTATAATATTAGGAATGTAGTGTCTATTTGAATCTCACATGTTTTGGAACCAGATAAAATGATGTCAAAGTGCATATGGAAAAATAAATCTATAAAAATAGTTAAGAACATTAAAAAAAAATATGCTGCTCTTGACTTATCAAGTATTAAAACTTACCATAAAGGTACTTTAATTAAGCAGTATTAAGAGGAACAAGGGAATAGAATGGTGGAACAAAATAAGATCAAATACACAAAGAAGTATTATGTGAACTTGATATATGAAAGAGAAAAGGTTGACTAAGCGACTGACTCTTAATTTCGTCTCGGGTCACAATCTCAGGGTACTGGGATTGAGCCCTCCATCGGGCTCCTTGCTCAGCGGGGTGTCTGCTTGAGATTCTCTTCTTCTCTCTCTGCC